GCTCCGCTCCGCCCCGCCGGGGCAACCCGCCGCGCCCACGGGGCCGGATCCGCTGCCGGGCGGCCGCTGCCGACGGATAAGGAGGGCCTCGGAGGCAGCACGGCCGCGCTGGCGCCGCCGGGCTCGTTTGCGGCGGCGGGGTTGGGGGCGCCGAGGTGGAAGCCCCTCGGGGGGACAACAGTCACCGTAGTGGGGTAGCCCCTCCTCGGTGACGGGACATGACGGGACATGATCTTTGTGCTCTCACCGGTGGAGATGCCAAGTGCAGGACCAGGCCCTGCCGTCCTATTTCGCCCATGGACCCCTTTTCCAACTGGCTGGCTGTAGGTGGGCCCGTGTGGTTTTCTCAGCACCCCAGCGTGCTGGAGCCCACCTTCGTTGTGGGCTTCGGGGTAGTTTTGGTTTCAGTGGCGAGATCTGTGCTGCTCAAGAATCCCTTTGGGCTTCAATACATCATAATTTCAAGATAGTCTTTAAAATGTTGGGAATGCTGTGGTACTGTTCACTTTTAAACAGGGAGGAGAAGGTTTTCCTCTTCATTCAGTGTAGCAGAAGCAACTGCGATGAGCAGGCATCCCCAACGGTCCCCAGGGAGCTTGGGGAGGAGAGTGGGGGACAGAAAGCAGGAGAAGCCTTGGCAGCGCAGCCGGAGCAGATCTCCTGAGGGGTTAAAGAGAGAGACTTTTTTTGAGACTTACTCAAATCCTATTGACTTCTTGCCAAAAAAAGTTTAGAGAGGTCAGGGGACTTCAAGTGTTTTTCACTATTGATAACAGTGTTGTGAGCGATTCAGTTGGTATCTATCACCCATCACTAGAAGAGATTTAAAGAACCCAAACCCCCTGTTGCTCCACACTTTGTTGTCATGTCAAACAGGAGACATCACTGGTTAATGCTTGAGAGTGGACTTTGCCCTCTATTTATAGTATGATCTCATCTCAGTGTGAGGGAAGGTAAACACCAGGAGGAGCAGAATGGTGGCACAGATACAGCACTCCACCTGAAGCTGGGATGTCCACAGACTTTTGCAGCTAAACTTCTAAATGTAGAAAAGTGTGTGTGTGTATATACACTTACACAACCCACTGCTTTGTGCACTACACATAATGATCCTCCTTGGAACATCCTTCTCTCCCATCTTCCGAGCATGACAGTGCTTATCTTCCAACTCATGCCAAGGAGTGTGTCGTGTGAGGGTGGTGTTTACATTTACACATGCAATTGGCTAGATAAAAATTGCCTCCAAAGTACAATAAAAGGGAAATTAACCTTGGTAATATTACTTTGTGCCAAGGATTTGTCCTATTTACCAGTTCTGATATTTCAGATTTAGTGTTTACTTTGCTTCACATCAGTAACAGTTCCCTTCCTGAAACCAGGCTTAGTTTTGTACATACAGGTAACCTTGTTTAATTGAGCTGACTTAAGCTTAAAATAAAACAAGCAAATGTCATCATATGAGTGATTTCTGTTGCAAAGATAATGCATTGATGCTACTACAGCATTTCCTGATAAAATAATAAGCATTATTGAGCTGCTCTCAAATTCTCCCTGACTTCCCTTGTTGGAACAATAATGTTACAAAGTGGAGATGCATTAAAAACTAGAGCATCTATTACTAGCTTTGATGTAACACTGTTGATGTAATTGTCAGAGAGACAGCAAAACAATAGCTTTTTATGCCATGGAACTGTAACTTCAGTTAAGGACTGTTGGACTAAGCTAAAAGACTCTTATGTTAAAAAAAAAAAAACCAAAACAACAAAACGTGTTTCTGTCCTTAATGAATTATTTAATATATTTCCAAAGTGGTACTTTTTCAGCTTTCCCCTGAGGTATGATGGATGCAAGGACAAAAAAAGGATTGATGGCAAAGAGAAGAATCAGGTTTCCTTTTCTTGCTGCCGGCTGTCACAGCAGACGTACCTTCTTGGTTAGAAGAAGGCTGTGAATACTGCAGCATGTTCTCTTCTGCTGTCAGAGGTGGTGTGGTGCCAGAAAATTTCCACTGCACGTGAATGAAGGATTCTGCATTTTCTGCTTCTTTCACAGTTAAGCTAGGGAATATTCAATAGCTCCAGTTATATGAATTATTAAATTTAACTATTTCTTTGTAAATTTAACTATTTCTTTGCGTCCTTGAAACTGAGACTATTACCATAAGATGATCTGGTAAATCATAAAGCATATTTATTATCTTCAGATTACTTGGGGAATTAAGGCTTTTAGGAAATACAGGTTGATATCAGTTATTTGCTGTAGCCAACACACTGCAAACGGCTTAATTCAGCTACTGCCTTGATGGATCTAAATTTTTTTTTTAATCAGCAATTTGTCTTACAGAATGAGCAATTTATTTTTTCCATAGAGACTTTTCAGATCTCCTGAGTTCATTAAATACCTTATTATTGTTTTGCATTGAGCCTATCATGTGATGTCAGTAACCTTAATATACATCTGTTTTTGGAAGGAATTTTGTGTATGTAAACTGGGCTTCTTTGCACAGGCACTTATGCCGTAACTGCTTAGGTACTACTTCTCTCACCCAGTTTTCACCATGAATCACAGTTGTTGGTAATTTGAGGCAGAATTCACGTCTCCTCAGAACAGTATCAATACAAGAGAAGATATTTCTGCAGCCATGTGGCGATGAACCTCCTTGCACCTGATGTGCTCAGACAAGGACTTGAGCTTTGGTGTGAGAGGCCCTGTGTAATTTTAGGTATCACAGAATCATAGAGTAGTTTGGGTTCGAAGGGACCTTCAAAGTTCATCTTGTCCAACACCCCTGCAATGAGCAGGGACATCTTCAACTGGATCAGGTTGCCCAGAACCACATCCGGCTTGACCTTGAATGTCTCTGGGGATAGCACATCCACCACCTCTATGGGCAACCTGTGACAGTATTTTACCATCCTTGTTGTATTTTTTTCCTGACATCCAGCCTGAATCTCCCCTCTTTTAGTTTAAAACCATCACCCCTCGTCCTGTCGCAACACGCCCTGCTAGCATCGGGTCTCCCCGCTACGGAGACAAGATGGCGGCCGCCGCGCGTCTCCTTGGCAACCGAGCTCTCCCTGCCTCCGTCACCGCCTCGGAAGTCCCGCCCCGGCGCGTCGCAGTTGCTAGGGAAGGTGCCGGAAGGGAGGGCCCGGGGCTTGGTGGAGCCGCCGGCCGGGGCGATGGAAGCGAGCGGCGGGCGTGGCTGGGTTTGAGGGGGAGTCGCGGCCGTCTCTCGTGCCGGCAGGTGAGCGCGGGCAGCGGGCTGGGTGTCATCCCTCCCCCACCCCCCTCCCGCAGACACACGGTGCGGGCTGCAGCCGCCCGCCGTTGGGGGAGATCCTCGGCCTTCCTTCCCCCACCGGGCCTATCGCGACAGCTGAAGTTCCCTGCGGGATCGCGACCCCTCCTCGAAGATGGAGGGGTGAGGTAATCACCTCGCTTAGATTCACCCTGCGGCCCACTCTCGGAGGGTCCCTGGGAGGGACAAGGGCAAAGCTAGACAGAGTCAGCATGTTCGTGGGGCTGTCACGACATGTCGGTGAGGGCCCGAGTCCACTGTGGTTCCCTGCGGGAGCATGTGTACGCGCGTCCGCTCGTGGCGCGTGTGGTGACCTCCTGCTCCGGGGGTCCTCGTTGCCCACAGCTCAGCCACGCAGCCCTTCCAGGCTTCGTCTCCTTTTTCTCCCTAACATGATGGGAATCGCTGTGGCAGGTCCTCCCAGTCTCCTTTAAAGGAGTAACCGCATCAGCAGAACTGGATTTTCCAGTAATAAACTTAATTATGAAACACAATTATGTCTTCTGACTGTTAGAAGCAAATGGAGCTTGCTAGATCAGGTGCTGCAGGCAGTGGCACCACTTGCTTATGCTTATCTTTGCAGTGTGAAAAGCTGTTATGTAGTCAGCATGAGTAGCTTCTGTAGTGGCGGTAATGACAACCAGGGTGCTTTCGGATCTCACTGTCACTGCATGAATTTGTGCCAGGGCAAGAGGCCCTCAGTTTGGGATTAGGCTGCTGCCAAGTTTCCTTGTGTTTGCTTGCTGTCCCTGGGACCAGTCTGGGCAGAAATGGCAGTGTTTTGGGGAAGTGTCAGACCTGCAGTATCTATATTATACATGTGTTGTCTCATGAGTAGGAGGTCTGGTGCTCTGTGAAGGATTTGACTTAATGAACCATTACCCTCCTATATGCAGTAGGCAGGCTGGGGCTGTGTTACACAGCTGTTTGCCATTTTAAGGATCTCAGCTGACCAGAAGTTTGAACACATTGTTACCTTGTGCAATCTCATCAGGTTGGCTGGCATACCTAATTGCAGATGAGAGGATTCCTGTAGAAAACTATGTTGTATTAAAATTGTTATCAAAAATTCTTATTTTCAATAATATAGCTTTATACGTCTCCTAATTTGTGGGTTACACAAAATGAGAAGATTTTATTTACAGGCAAGTTAAACATCATCTGAGATGGTCAAACTGTCTGCATAAACCAAGGACTAATTTTTAGTCTGCTGTTGTATTGTTAACCTTTTAATCATCCTGTCAGGTGATGGACCTATAAGGCCTAAAGTTCCCAAATCAGGAGAAGAATATTTGTGGCAGAAGTTATCTTCAATTTTTAGCTTTGGTTTAATTTTTACTCACCTTCCTGTGTGTAAGTCTTCTGTCGAATTGTCTCTGGCTTTTGAAATCAAACCATGCCGTCTCTGGGAGTTGTATAGCATAGCTAGTCATGGAGCAGTCCCACCTGCCACCTACCACAAAATCCACTTGCTGGATCAGCACATGCAGTCTTCCAGGGTTCCTAGCTGTAGGATATGTAGTATGTGTTGAAATCTCTTCATAAAGAATCCTACAGAAAGGATGCTGTAGCAGCTGTTGCATCCTAGGGTAAAAATGAGATTACAGCATTAGAGGTGTTAGCAAAGCAGCCCTGTTTGTGGCAGTGCTCCCAGTATCCTGATCTTTGCCAGGCAGCAGCTACATGCTTCTGTCAAGGGAAAGGCCCAGGCGGCTACATTTGTCTGATGCAGCACTTCTGGAAGAACAAACCCTGAGGGCAGTTGCAGCTTAACGATGCTGGAGCAAGACACACTGGAGAAGTAGGGAGACGGATCAAGGAGTTGGGTAATAGAGAAATGGGTATAGGGTTGGGGCTGGATGTTGGTAACCTTATGGGGTAGCTTGGAGATGCGGAGGACATGTTTTAAGGCCTTTTGAAAATTTTACGTTGTGTTTCATTAGGGTTTCATTATTTAAAACATTTCCTTTTTGAGGGGCAATTCTATTCCAAGCTGACTAATCCCTGAACTTGTAAAACCACAACAAGCGTGTGTGTGATACTAGTGAGTCACTGATGATGAATCATGCATACTTCAGTGCAAATAAATGAATCCCTTTGTTTCATTTATTTTTGTTTTGGTAGTATCTGGAGGGCCTACAGAAAGATCATGACCTTGTGGAACCAGGTGTTGTTTAAGCACAGAAAAAGACAGACTCTGAGCCTTCATACACTCTTTTTTTATCTATTTAAGCTTGAGTTCAACTTGTCTTATCAGCATGAATAAAAATATGTCTAAACCTCTTTAAAATCGAAGTCTAATAGTAAACATTTCTGCCTTGTGGAATGTGGCAATTTAAGTAGTCTAGGAAGGAGAAGGTAGGAGCACTATATAAGGGACTGTGCATCCCAGGAAGAGAGAAATAGTAGGGCTGTTAGCTTGCTGGCAAATTTACGTCTCCCTATGTAGTTCTGAAAATTGAAGACCCCTTGAATTTCAGCTCAGTATTTTAGTTGCAGAAATTGTATTAACTACATTCATTATTTCCATTAATTGCACCACTACATTAGTAAAGGTGAAGTTTTAATTGGCTTTTCAATGGAAAATTATATGTAGAAGGAACAGTAGGGGGTGTTACATGTGTGTTTATCTGCTATCTCTCACTCCCTTGCATGGCAGTTTTTGTCCTTGGGAGAAGGGTATGCCAAAGAGTCTGCTTTTGGCTTAACAAGATTTTCTTCTGAATTAGCACTTCTTTGCACTCGATTTCTGTGAAACATAACTATGAAGATTCACTAGGCTGCAACTGTAAAAGTAATTTGTGAAATGAACTGCAGAAAGACTAAGCAGCAGCATCGAAACTGCTTATGAGAGCTTTAGCAGTTATTATAATTTGCTCATGAATGTATGTTAGCTTGCTTAAGTTACATATTAATCAGGCCTAGATCTGGGATGAGCACTTACTTAGAGATGGGGTAAATAAGTTCTTTGTTGTATATAGTGTACTGTCCACATCAACTGGATTGTAGGATTTTGGCTGTTGAGTATGTATGCACAAAGGATGATCTGCTTCAATTCATGCGTCTTCACCCCCATCTTCACTGGTATTGCATTAAAGCACAATTTAAGATGGTATAAAGGTGATCTCACCAAACAGCCCTTGTAAAGGAGAGTGCCAGCTGGTGAGTGCCTGCTGCTTTCAGAAAGCTTCAGCCTGCCCTTCACAGAAGGGGCTAATTGTGGGTGCTGGGCTCATCCACACTTCCTCAGTGAATTTGTTCTGTATTCCTACCTTGCTAGATTTGCCTGTCTTTCTCAAACAAAAAGGACAAGGATGCAATACACTATATCAGAGGATTGACAAAATCACACAAGCCCTCAGAACAAGACAGACAGTAATAAACTGGAGTGAATTGAGCAGGGGGTTTACCAAGATGGTCAGGGGGCTGAAGCACTTGTCTGATGAGGTGAAGCTGGGCAGCTGTGTTTCTTCAACACGGAGAAGAGGTGGCTCTGGGATCACAGCCTGCCTGTGAGGAGGTTATTAAAAAAGACAGACCAAGGCTCTTTAGCAGGGTGAAGGGTGGGAAGGCACAAGCTGAAAGAAGAGTTCCAGAATATATGAGGCAATATGTGAGGGAAAAACAATACCCAGCACCTTTTCCTATTGAGACCAGTCAAGCAGTGACACAGGATGCCAGAGAAGCTGTGCTATCTCCATCTTTAGAGGTTTTCAGAATGTGGCTGGATAAAGCTCTGAGCAACCTGGTTTGACCTTATAGCTAACCCTGCATTGAGCAGGAGGCTAGACAAGAGACCTCCTGAGGTCACCTCCAGACAATCCTGCAACCCTTGCAGGAAAGGCTGACCTGGACATGTGAGAGATCTAATGTAGAAGGTGACACCTAGGCGTCGTGAATTGAAATGCAGCTTATAAGCACTTCCCTAGCAACCATAAATTTGCAGAAATCCTGCTGTCAGTGTTTTAATCATAGAATGGTTTGAGTTGGAAGGGACCTTAAGGACCATCTAGTTCCAACCCTGCTGCCTTGGGCAGGCACACCTTCCATTAGACCATGTTGCTCAAAGCCCCATCCAGCCTGGCCTTTAAATAAACCTTGCTTGCAGTGCAGCCTTTTCCAAACAAGTTTGTCTGTCAGTCTCCAACATTTCACCTCTATTTCACATTTCCCACCTTTCATCCTCTTCAGCCCCCTGGGGAGGTGCCTTTTCCCAAGCAAAGCAAGAGGCAGGCACGGTCCCCAGTGCCCACCTATGGCCTTGCTAATGATATCAACTTATCCATCTCCCCCTTCCCCACTAGAGCAGAAGGCAAAATCAGAGCTGCATGAAGTACAGAGAAGACAATACAAAGTTGGTAATGTTACTTTGGTTCCCTTCCTTGCAGTATAGGAAATCATGATTCTTGGTAGAGCACATAAGGGATTTCTCTTGGAATATTTTTTTTTTAATTCTACAGTCATGAAGTGATCCATATGAACTCTCCTACTTCAAAATAAAGCAAAAAGGTATATGCATGTAAGTCTTGGTTAGAAATCATAGAATCACAGAATGGTTTGAGTTGGAAGACCATCCAGTTCCAACCCCCCTGCCATGGGCAGGGACACCTTCCACTAGACCAGGTTGCTCAAAGCCCTGTCCAGCCTGGCCTTGAAAACTGCCAGGGATGGAGCATGTACTACTTTGCTGGGCAACCTATGCCAGTGCCTCACCACCGTCACAGCAAAGAATTTTTTCCTTATGTCAAATCTAAATCTACCCTCTTTCAGTTTAAAGCCATTTACCTTTGTCCTATCCCTACATGGCCTTACAAGTCCTCCCACTCCAGATTTCTTGTTGGCCTCTTCAGGTACTGGAAGCTGCTCTGAGGTCTCCCCGAAGCCTTCTCCAGGCTGAACAAGCCCAGCTCTCTCAGCCTGTGTCCATAGGAGAGGTGCTCCAGGCCTCTGATCATCTTTGTGGCCCCCTCTGGACTTGTTCAAGCACATCCGTGTCCCTCCTGTGATGTGGGCCCCAAAGCTGTCTATGCTCTGTGTTTGGTTCTGTAATCATTATACAATAAATGTACAACAGTGATTTCTGGCATTAAGGTATTTAGTGAGAGATGTGAGTTGTGTGCCCATTCAGAAAAGGTGGATTGGCTGGGGAGCGTGAAAGGTCCTTGTAACTAGTGTCCTTGTTTGCAGTTGTCCAGTTCCCAAATGCAGTCCTATTATTTTCCTTGATTTTTAATTTAATTTGCTACTTCTATCTTACGTTAAAATGCTTTCTAGACGTCACTTTGGAGGTTTTCAAAGCATGGCTGGATAAAGCTCTGAACAACCTGGTTTGACCTTTCTAGATGCCACTTTTCATCCACTTTGACCATCCTGGTTTGTGTCCTCCCCTGTTTTCAATTTCACATCTTTAAACTTTTCTTTACTAATAGGTTGATTCTGCTTTAGGATAATGGCAGGAAAAGTAAAGTGGGTAACTGACATAGAAAAATCTGTTCTAATAAACAACTTTGAAAAAAGAGGCTGGATTCAGGTGGCAGAAAATGAAGACTGGAATTTTTATTGGTAAGTACATTAAAAATACCAATTTCTAATTTTATGAAGCATTTTAATATGTTAGTATCATCAATAATCTAAAAAAATGTGTATTAAAAAGTGAAAGATACAGAAATTATCATTGATTTACCACAGTGCTCCTAAGAGTATAACATTGTTTCTGTAATTTCTCAGGCTACCACTGGTCTTCTGTTCAGAGTTGCATTGGTAGACTCCTGTATATGTGCAGGCCTGCTAAAGTCATTGGGGTTCCTCAGAGTAGAAGGTCCCATCTGCATGGATCCATTCCCATGCTACTGATCTCATGTATCTTTGCAGTTTGCCAAAGATACAGTCAGGGAGTGGAAAGTCGGTGACCTAGCAAGATACTGATCACTTCTGGGAATGCCAGTTGTGAACAGCCCAGGGGGAAGGCTGCGCTAAGTGTTTTTTGAACTGTGATACCTGATTTTATTTGATTTTGGGTTTGTTTGTTTTTTTTTTTTTTGCAGTAAGCAGAAGTTTTCCATTACTGTTGGAGGGGATATGTGGCCTGAGGGGAATCTTTGAATGTATCTTTTCCCCAAATTTTCTGGCAACTCAACATAAAATAATCCAAGAGTACACAGTTCCAATATATGATTAAATATTCGTTTATCTGTGTGGTGGAGTCTTGCCCTGTTACCAGAGTCCAGGCTTCTATAATAAAGGCTTTGAGGACTGTACTTCTTCGTGATAATGATTTATATGCAGACTGATTATTCAACATTTCAATACTTAGAGTGAATGTGAAGTTTAATCAGAACAATGGTGAAAGGGGAGTAAAGAATCTAGCTTCTCTTTTGGCATTTGTGCAATATAAGACCATGAAATGCTGTCCTAGAATGCAGTAATCTATTAATTGGCAGAAACAGTACTCTGTACGTAAACCAAACAATTTATATTGTCCCTTTCAGATATGACAGAATGGCGGTTTGTGCTGCCAAGTGTATCCTTTGTGAACCACTTATTCAAATGGGTAGGAATCTAGTAATCTCATGATTTTGGAATGTGGTTGAGGGGAAGAGGTGGAACAGGGCACTCATAGAGACTGTTGTGTGACTGGTTGTTTTGTTTTGTTTTTTTTCTTCCTGAAATGATAACGTAGCAGATTGATAGCAGTCAGGAAATATTCTTAAATTTCCAATATAAGACATGCAGTACAAATTTTCTTTGGATCTATAGTCCCACTCTTACCTTCTGTGAAAAATAAAGTAGATATGTGATGGCATTGTCACTGCAGCCCCTGATCTGGCATTTACGGGTGATTTTAGTAAGATCTCTGAATCACTGTTTTCAGTTCATATGCTTGACAATCTGAATAGCAAGGTAGTCAGTAGGAGGTTGTTTTTATGGCTTTTTTTAAGAGAGAAACTGAATTTACAGGAAGAGAAATAACAGAAGTTGCTTCTGTAGCACTTGGGGGTGTGTTGGCCATTTTTAGATCCTTTTGGGGCTTAACCTGTTATCAACAAGGCAGAGTCCAGTAGGCCCAAGTTGTCATCTTCCTTTCCTCTCTTGTGCCAATTTTAGTCATAGTAGAGGGATCAATAAAACCTCTGGCAGGATTTTGTTAATAGAAGGTCAGCACATCTTGCATTGTCACTGCAGCAGGGTATTAGAGTTTAAAGAGAAATGAGAGAGAAAAGTTGAAGTGTATGTAACAAAAAAAAAAAAACAAAAAAACAACAACAACAAAAAACAAACAAACAAAAAAAACCCCAACAAACTTTATCTTCCTGGATTGTGTTTCTTGGGTAATGGGTTTAAACTTAAACAGGGGAAGTTCAGGTTAGATATAAGGAAGAAGTTCTTTACTGTGAGGCACTGGAAAAGGTTGCCCAAAGAAGTAAATGCTCCCTCTCTGTCATTGTTCAAGGCCAGGTTGGACAGAGGCTTGGGCATCATGGTCTAGTGTGAGGTGTCCCTGCCCATGACAGGGGGATTGGAACTAGATGATCTTAAGGTCCTTTCCAACCTTAACTATTCTATGATTCTATGAAGTCTTTTGGTATCTGTCTTTGCTTGCAGGATGAGCGTACAAACAATCAGAAATGTTTTCAGTGTGGAAACTGGTTACCGCCTCTCTGATGACCAGATTGTCAATCATTTCCCAAACCACTATGAACTGACCAGAAAAGATTTGATGGTAAAGAATATCAAGCGATACAGGAAAGAACTTGAGAAAGAAGGAAGTCCACTTGCAGAAAAGGATGAAAATGGGAAATATATTTATTTGGGTATGTGGTTCTCATTATCAACATTCATATTCTTTCCTGTGTAGTCAATGACCTGGAACTGACCTAGCTTTTCTGTGCATAAAGCACCAAACTTCTGAAGTGTTAGAACATCAAAGTAACTATCTTGAAATGCTCTGTCCCCGTTAGTGAAGTGCACTTTGTCCTAAAATTATTTGCTGTATTCTGCAAACTTTACAGCCTTTTCTCTCTGTGTTCTCCTTTTCTCTCCCTTCAAGTCTGAATTAGAGCAGAAGGAAACAGAGAACAGGTAAAGTGATAAAAACTGTTGTAATGAATATTTTGTAAGAAATACTGTATTTTCAAAGGTTTTCACAAACTTTCCTTTGAAGGAAAATAGCTAATATTTTACAAATTGAGAGGAATAGAGGGGATGGCACTTGTTCAGGATCTTCATTGAAATTGGAGAAAAAGTAGTAATAAAAGACTGAACATTTCTGTTTTCCTGTTGTATTACCAAAGCACCAAGGCCCAGTTCCTCCATTGTGTACTTGATAGTATTCAGCAGTATTCAAAGAGGAGCACAAATCCATTTTGTGTGCATGGAAGTTGTATTTAGACTTTGTTTTGTTAGGAGTAAGGTCCTTAAAGAAGACTGAACTTAACAGTGCAGCATTACCTGAAGTAACATTGGATAAAATGATAATGAAATTACTATTTTTAAGTATAAGGGTACAGAACTAGACTTGTAACTAGGCTTTTTGTGGTTGGGGGCGGGGGGGGGGAGTGTGGGGGAGAGGTGGGTTGTTTGGTTGCATTTTTGTTGATTTTGCTTTGTTTAAAATTATTTTGAAGAGGGAAAATTGTGGGATTAAGGTACTCTGCAATAAGATTAGTGATGAAACCAAAGGACTCTGGAACTTCACATGAGATGGAGTTTCTTTAATTCAAAAGTGAAAAAACATTATCTGAATATCTTATACTGGAGGGAAAACTAAAATTAACTTTTTCAGAGAGGCTCTTGGCAGAACAGAATGAACAAACTCTTCAGAGTAGAAGTTTGGGGGAAGTTGGAAAACAAGAAACAAGTAATGACTGCTAGGAAATACAACTAAACAAACAAAAGGCAAACCAGCAGTAGATCAGGAATGAGGAGAGTGAAGTTGTTTTAGAGGTCATAAAGCATTGCAGCAAAACAGAAGTGGAGATAACGTTGAACTGATTTACATCTTGGGAAAGTGAAAGTGTTCATCCCTGAAAAAGAGCAGCAGTTCTGTATGGATGGAAGTGAAAATAATTTGACAGCAAAAAGTGACAAATGCTTTTCTTTACATTTGAGTAAGCATTGTAATACTGATTGTGGGAGCAAGTAAGTGACTAATGGGAGTTACATAGAAATAAAAATTACCTCATCCAAAGGGGAAGCGACACCAGCATTCACATGTTTGGTGCACAGAGAATGATAAGGTGGTTAATGGAATGGTAAAAACTGACATAGTAAATTGAGAAAGTTTGGTAAATTGGAATGGTATGTAGTATTCTAATTTCACAGCATATAAACAGAATGCGAAAACTAATGAATGTGAATTAAAATCTACTTAGCTGAAGTTAGCAGCAATATTTTGCAATTGTTTGTTCAAGTGTAAACCTAAATGTAGAATTTAAATAAGATGAAAAGCAACGTAAGTCTTAATGAAGGTGGATAGTGCCAGACTGGAAAACTGAAAATACAGAATTTTTTTAGTCTGTATGTGTTAATAGCCTTATCAGACACAGTGTCCTTAATTGTGCACCTTATGTGGGTTTTTTGGTTTTCCTTCACTCAGATTTTGTTCCTGTTACTTTTATGCTTCCGGCCGATTATAATCTCTTTGTTGAAGAATTCAGGAAAAATCCCTCCAGCACTTGGATTATGAAACCTTGTGGCAAAGCTCAAGGAAAAGGAATATTTCTAATCAATAAACTCTCCCAAATTAAAAAATGGTCTCGAGACAGCAAAACGTCTTCGTAAGTTCTTAAAACCAAAACCCTTTAGTGTACTTTCTGTAATGAGGTGAACCATATGCTAAATGTCCGATGCATGGAAAAGTATTCCATTATTATTGCTTTGTCATTATATAGTTAGTTTTGCATTTAATCTCAGTTGTTATCTGACTTCCTCCTTCAAGCAGGTTTTAATGCAGTTTGTTTTGGTATGAGGAGGTACAAAGTACTGTTCAATTAAGTATTCTTTATAAAAATGCTTTCAGTGGTGTTGAGGAAAAAATTGCGTAAAAATAAATCGTTCTGCTTCATAATATTAAATAACAGGAAACAAGCAAATTCAGTAATTATTAAATACATGTTAAATAACTTTTTCAATTAGTACAAAGGAAGAGTGCATTTATTGCAACATGGTCTAGTGTGAGGTGTCCCTGCCCATGACAGGGGGTTGGAACTAGATGGTCTTAAGGTCCTTTCCAACCCTAACTGTTCTATGATTCTAAAAATACATTATCTATTTGGAGCACAAAAATGTTGGTGATCTACTTCCAAATGGATGAAACAGGTCAGCAATCTACCTTTTTCTCTGACTAGTAAAGGTTTTGATCACACAAGTAATACTGATTTTTTTTACTGTTATAAAGTGACTGGTTGACTATCACTCAAGTCTTCCCCCCCCTTTTGACTTTGAATCTGAAGAATGTCACAATCTGAAAGTTATCGTAGCTTTTCACAGTGGTTTGCCAATGCACACCAAGCATAAATACAAATGTTCTATATGACCTTGACTAATGAAGGTAATGTACTGCATACTCTTTGCTTGTCTTAACTGTGCCAAGCTCTAAGTGCTCTCCAAGGAAAAGACTGGCTTGTAGAGCTGCATTGTGCGTGGTGCAGTCAGCTACCCTGTCAACTTCAAAACTGAGTTTAAATGGTTAGTTGATCTTGGTCATCTGTGTAGTATTTTAAACATTTTTTTGTGTATATAATACCTGATGCCAAGTGTGTATTATTAACCACTACAGCTTTATACATTGTACATGAAGAAGATTAAAGATTTCAGCCACTTCACAATGTACAGACTACTAAAGGAAAAAAAGATTTATCAGATTATATCATTGCAATTGTTAAATTCTGAAACTTGATTTGTGTTTTTCAGGTTTGTATCTCAGTCTTCCAAAGAAGCCTATGTGATTTCTCTCTATATTAACAATCCATTACTTATTGGTGGAAAGAAATTTGATCTTCGTCTGTATGTTTTAGTATCTACATATCGTCCACTGAGATGTTACATGTAAGACTGTATGTATTTGTATTTTGTTTTGAGAGAACATTTAATGTCGTCAAAATAAGTATCGTAGAATGCTTTTTTCCTGATATCTTGTTGGGGTTTAACACATTTTAATGACTTTTTGCATTTAAGGTATAAACTTGGATTTTGCCGGTTTTGCACAGTAAAGTACACACCAAGTACAAGTGAACTGGATAACATGTTTGTACATCTTACAAACGTTGCCATTCAGAAACACGGGGTAAGTGTACTTAGTTCTTAGGTGCTCTTTTGTAGCAAGACTGTTTTTCTTAAATTGTCCCAAAAACCTTGGCATAAAAAGACTTTATTTGTCATATTCTTCATCGTCTTACAATTAAAATACTTCAACTTGAACTTCTAAATAAATAAACTTTAGAAGACTGCAGGTCAAAAGTATGCAAGATAATGAGTTGCAGCTCTGTAATAGAGTGGAATATCTTCAGTACTGACTTTCAGTAGTTGAAAGCAGGGGTTTTCTTCCAAGTCTCCTGTCATTTAAATGCTAATATGCTCATTTAGGAATTGATTCTGTGAGCAGTGGAATTAATGAAGCCTGGTTCCTGTAGATTCGTATTTTATAATAGCACTTTAGTATCAGCTTCCTGATCTTCCCTTCCCATTCTCTCTCTCCCGTGAAGTTAATTCAGCTTTCCTATTTTCAGTACATACTCATCACAGTACTTTCCAGCTGCTTCTCATGTTTTCCCTGCTCCGCCCCCCTCCTTTTGCTCCCTGGGTAAGAAAGGGAATGTGCAGTTGAGATCTTGGAGATGGATGTTTGCTGCCTGGCCAGCTGGTGGCTTCCTTTTCAATGGACAGGGTTCTGCCTGCAAAACAGTTCTGTCCTGTAATTTGCCATTGATGTTCATAAAACATGTGGAAACCTGATAGCTTTGACAGGACTTCCTTATGTCACCACAGGCTGAAATTCACCAGTGGGAGGAAAGGCCAGTGGGTCAGGGGGGACATGCACAGATGGGCATACACTATGACTGCCCAAGCCTTGTTTCTTCAGGGAATCCACTCGATTATGATGACTGTCCCTTTGCATTTTTAGTGGATGTCTGTGATTTATAGACCATGCCTCTGTTACAGTAATTAAAACTATACTGCCATGCTTCCAAATTTCATAGTTTTTAGTTTAAGAGTAGCGAAAATAAATGTGTATGTACATACGCATGTACACTCATGCATATATATTCATGTGTGCATACACCAACACTCCACAAGATACATTTAATGTATCTTAAATTGCAACCATGCTAAACGTGTCTATTGTTGTTCTGTAAGATGTGCAGCATAGCAGAACTACTTTTATCTGGACATTCTGTAGAATCATAGAATCAACTCAAGTCCAACTGTTACCCCAGGACTGCCAAGTCCACCACTAAACCATGTCACTAAGGGCCTCATCTACATGGTTTTTGAACACTTCTAGGGACATATCATTTGTGGTGGTAGTTATAAACTAGGGTAAGTGTCAAAAAGTGGTATTTTTCAGTACTACAAACATTTTCTTGCTCAGGTGCTGATTTGTAAAGTGCTTCTTTACAAATTATGGTTCTGACAGGGCTCACTGAGAATTGGTTGTGGTGAATGCAGATCCCATGTGACTTAGAGCATAAATCATGGTGCTGTTTGCAGTAGTAGTGAAGAGGTGAGGCATGTGATATGTTGCCTATCCCAAATAAAAGTAGAGGTGAAAGTAGTGGTGAGGTCACCTGAAGAGAGGACAACAGAAATGTGTATAGAAGGAGCAGTTTAAAAATGTAGAGTCATTACTGGAATATATGAAAAACTATATAATTTCAGAACCACTAATATTTGTTGAGTTTTGTAGAAAGAACTGAGAGGTTTAATGCAAAGCCACTCTATCCTATGTGCCCTTGTGTTTTAAACTTGTCTAACTTTGGAGGCACTTAGGTTGTACAATTTTAGAAGAACCTGATTTGAACAGTCAAGTAATTTATCAGAATCATTATGTGGTCTAGAAAAACTCTTTGTGTTCTAGCTGTTAATCTCTTCTCTAAGTCCTGTGTGAACCATAGTGTTCCAGTGTGTTTGTACCCTACTGAGTAATGGGAAAACATCCCTAATTTGAAAAGTGTACAAGTCTATATTGGGAGAGGGAAATGGTAAAATGCAGGAAGGAGACTAAGTCACTATACCCATTATAATGTTGGTGCTGGGAAACAGTTCTAGGTCATTATTCACTGCGTGTGCAATACAAGCACAACAACAGTAATTCAATATTATTGTTTTCAGTTAGTGATCTTCTGTGTAGCCTGCAATACTCTAATATTTTTAATTAAACAGCTGTGATTGTGTAAGGCTCTACCCAGTTGCAGTCTGTTTTGATTTGAGTACTTGTTCTGCAATGCAAAGAAGGCTGAAACTTTGATCTCTGGAATCTGGTCTCAAGACATTTTTTCCATGCAGCAAGTCCTGAGAACCATGTTTGAGGCCTTTATTTGTACAGTCCAGTTTTACAAATGTACTAAGGGGGGAGCTGTAGAAAAGCCTAAATATAGATAGAGGTTTCTCTGACCTCATCTTAGAGGACCACAGATTTCATTCCTCTGAGAACTGTTTTCTGCATCGTGTTCTATAATTCAGCAGGCATGCAATCATTAACTGTTACAAATACTCTGAGGAGAACCTTTTTAAAGGGGCAAAGCATGTGTCCTGAGAGTTATACAAGGGCTTAATGCATGTCTTTCCATCAGTACGAACACCCCCAGTTTGCTCTTGTCTTCCCATTTAAAGAGAATGTGATGCAGAGCATTGATAGCCTCTGAAAAGACAAATATAATCTCCTTTTCCCCCTGTTCTGTTTCAGTAGCACTTAGTGGTTTTTTCTATATCAAAATACTGAATTACTTGAAAAGTTAACCTTTAAAAATAATTCGGGTCATTTCACTGTCCTCTTGAATGTAACTTGGTAGCACCATTAAGATGATACCATGTTTGCCTTTGGGGAAACAGACAAGTCACATTTTAAGACAAGCACTTTCAAGTGCTCCATTTTAAAACAGCTTTCTTCAGTGAAATTCAGCTATTGCTCACTTAGTTATTTCTTCCTTATCCCAGAGGAGGAAAAAGTTCAATTCTTTCCTTTCGCATTTTAAAAGTTGTATTTCCAAATCAGAAATTATGTTTTACTATAAAGTTGTCAATGTACCAGTTGGCTTCTTTCTCTGAAAAAAGATTTATTACTTGATTTGCAATGTGTGATATAAACATATACAGCTATAGTAAAACCAGTTGTTTATATAGAGTGCAGTTCAAAGTAAAGCTGAACTCTTCATAAACCTGTAGAATAAAAATAACTTGCTGAGGTTTTTTTTAGAGCACTACTTCTATGTAAGTGTAAGTGGGCTTTTTGTGTGAATGAAACAAAACTGCAGAACAACTTAAAAATTTTAGGCTAAACTAACTCCTTTATTTTTCAGGATGATTACAATCATATCCATGGAGGCAAGTGGACAGTGAGTAACTTACGCCTGTATCTGGAGAGCACACGTGGAAAGGAAGTCACAAACAAATTATTTGATGAAATTCACTGGATAATTGTGCAGTCACTGAAGGCTGTGGCGGTGAGTACTGTTCTTGGAATGCTGCCAGCAACAGCATTACAGCTGCAGGCTGCTCGTATCCATAAAGTGAGTTTGCCATCAAAACCCCTAAAATCTTTTTCCTGCTATGTGAGTGATGGTGTTGATGCTGATTTCTAAAATTCTGTTGTCTCCTGACTTCTCTGAGCGGACTTGAATTTTGGGTGAGTGGGTGAGCTGACTGTGCATACTGAAGAAGTGGATGAATCCCTTTCCTTGAGGGCTCTGTGAACTAGTTAATATGACATGATACTGCTCTTGTGAATAGTATTAAGCTCTGTCAAGGCACATGATGCCATTTCAGCAATAACAAATGTGTCAAAGAAAAAATAGCTCTGGAGGACAATTTGTCAAAGCAAACCTAAGGCTTTTAGTTCAGCAGAGTTGCATAACTTACTTTCACCTCACGAGTCACAGAGTTATCATGAACTCTCACTTAAAAAAAAAAGTAGCAACCAATCCTCTACTTAAGTGACTTTCTAGTGTTTGGATAATGTCCTGTGATTACAGTAGATAGCAGGTATCGCTCTGTGAGTCAGCTGGGGTAACTGAAGAGCTCGCTAGTGCCAAGGACTGTCCTGTTCCCAAGTACATGGTCCTGTCATCTCTCTGGCACCTTCTTGAGCTGAATCAGCTCACTCGCCCAACTGACAATTACTGTATTGCTTTATTGATGGGTTAGTACTGTGCCAGTGTAATAAGCTAAATCGCCTCACTGAAGGATCAGCTGAACACCAGAATCAGCACAAGAAAGAGGGACAGGTTATGAAGCTAGGATCACTGGGAGGTGAGGAGGCATGGCTCAACTCACTGTCTGTTGTGTAATCATATTTGAAACAGATGTGAGAAGAAAAGGGATTTAATCCAAATGTTAGAAGAACCTTAGAAGAGGAAAAAGTGTTGAGAATTATTGAGCATGAAATATTTTGATCCTCTGTCTTTCTGACAATGGCAGATGTAATGAGAGATGCTTGTTTCTCCTGTCCCTTTCACTCCCTGAAGAATGGAAAAGCTTTCATTATTAGCCTAGGGGAAAACATCTCACTAACCTGTTACAAAGGTTTCTTTAAAAGATCTGATGAGATTTCCATAGAAAAAAAGTCTTGCCATGCACACCGCAAATGGTTAGCAGATGCTGGAAAAGTACTGATTCTCTAGAGAATGTACATCCAAGCACAACTTGGTCCTTGGTTTCTCTTGACTTTCAGGATCATAGTTGACTTGAGCTAATTAGGGTTTTTAAAGGAATCTCGTAATTGTTTGACCTCAAATTTCTACTCTACATGTTTATATTAGCAGAGAAAAAGAAACATCTTTGAACAAGTCTCGTTTTTCTGAAGTTGAAATATTTCACAATTATTCAAAGCTGTGTTACGTAAAACTTCCTGATGTCTCCTGATGCATGCAGGCTTTAAATATTGTTATTACTTTTGCAAAATATGAAAACACGTTTCTTTTCATAACATAATGGAAAATTAATATGTTAGTATTTAGCATTAATACAATCATTAATATTGATATACTACTTCCAGCTTGGAAAAAAAAGAGGCAATCCTCAACTTATTAGCACACTTGTATTAGAGTAAAAACACTGAAAACTTGCAGAAGATTCATAATGTAGTCACAGTGATCATAGTGATTTATAGCAGAGTATGCATTCAGGTTACGTACTGAATTATTCATTTTAATACATATTGATGTCTTTTTCTCTTTTTTTAGCCTGTAATGAATAATGATAAACACTGCTTTGAGTGTTATGGATATGACATTATCATTGATGACAAGCTTAAACCATGGCTAATTGAGGTAAAGTTACTTAAAATACAGGGAAAAAAACTTCCTTCTCATTTCACAAAGTAAAACTGGCTAGATTTCAATGTAGCCTTTCCTCTTTTGAAACAGTGTCTTTTGTTCCTCAGGTAAGTGTATTAAGAAAAATGTTGGAAAGTAAAACGGACTGTGTGACCGCGCTTGCATGTGCTTTTGTTTCCTGTTTGGTGTTTCTATTTGTTTGTGGATTTATGTTTTGTCTTTGAAATCCAGTATGGCCATGCAATTGGAATTCAGTGGCAGTCTGAATGGTAGAAGCCTATTAGATTCTGTATCAGTAGCTGGAAAACTGGCATTGGCTCAATGGAGCATAACATCAAACTTAGGTTTTAGATGCTGTTACGGCCTTAATGTTGCAGATTGTGAGGAAGGAAAAGGGGTAAATGATGGGTAATTGGGATATTTGGAAGGGGTTTCCCCCCCACCATCTCCCATATGGCTTTCTCTTTAATGTATTGTCCTTGAATCTGTGTTCAACATGAATTTTTTCCATCTCGCTTCCTTCTCAGTCTAATTGAAAGTGAAAGTTCAAATGTAAATGAACTTTATTTTAAAAAACCCAAACATTTATTGTTCTGATACCATTTCTCCATAATAAATGTGGCACACAAGAGATACGTAAAATGAATCCCGGTTTTAATTAGTACAAGATACAATGTAGTGCTTTGAATAGAGAGCATGTGTGTGTTTCTCCAGCTCACAAGTTAACAGGAGAGAACTTGGATTAGGAACATAAATACAAGCTATTTACCTAGAAGAAACCCACAGGTTCCTGTGTAGAGCAGCTGTGGGAGTGAACCAGGCAAACTGTAAGCACTGAAATCTATGGGGTTTGTATCTGTGTAAGCTTAGAAAATTAAACAAAAATCCATGTTTTGTCTGATTCACCCCAGTGCATCTAGTCTCAACAAAAATCTTCAGGCTGACACTGCAGACATTTAGTGGTGTGGGGCTTTTTTTTTTTCTAAGTAAAAAGAAAAATGCCCAGTGGGGGATTCCTTCCAGTGTCTGAGGAACTGAAAGATGTGCTTTGAGATGCTGAGTCTTAATTTCCTAAATAGTACATGTAGTCATCACACATGCTATTTGGAGAACTATGTACCACTCAAAAATTGATGCTGACTGGTTTTTCTTTTCCTTTTGTAGGTTAATGCTTCCCCTTCTCTTACTTCCAGTACTGCTAATGATCGGATCTTGAAGTATAATCTTATTAATGACACACTTAACATTGCTGTGCCTAATGGGGAAATTCCAGACTGTAAATGGAATAAATCTCCACCAAAAGAAGTTCTTGGCAATTATGAAGTCTTGTAAGTTTTATCAATGTTCTATATAAATGCAAATGTTTTCCACTCACCTCACTTTTTTAATATATAGTGTAGAGATAAGGTGAACTTTGTTCTGTTGTGAAAAATGCACACAAAGTACCACTTTGGTTTTTTGGAGCTGCAGTAGCAATGGTGGAGGGGGGGAGGGCATTAAAGCAGAGCTGCCTCTCCCCTTCTCCAGCGAGAATGTTACTTTTCTGCACCTTCTGCACTTTCAGCATGTAGATTTGAGGGATAGAGGCTAAGAGACTGTTGTGTCTTCTATGTGTAGAACTTTAGTTGTATTGATTATAATATATAGATGGTAGTTAAATTGATATAATAGCAATTTTATATAATTTTTCTCTCACTTAATAGAAAAGACACCTCTTGACTCCTGTAATTAATGGATGTAATAGTAATGCGTTGTCAGGTCTTTTTTTTTTTATTTCCCTAATCTGGATTACAAAGAGAAATTAAGGAGACAGATCTTTATGTTGGAGTGTCTGAAGGATTTAACTAGGATTGATTGGTTTTACGCAGAAAAACACTGATTTAATACCATGTTTTTGAAAGTTTCTCATATTTTTTGAGAAAATATTTGGATAGTTTCTTTAGCACTAGTGGTACCATTGTTCAGTATGTCAGGAATGTGCTATGTACATAGGAGATCCACTGCTTTATACCGATCTTAAATACTCTTTATATTCTAGTAAAGACAGTTAAATGTCTGAATTATGACTTAAGTTTGAATGAATGTTTTATACATGGTAGCTGCGAATACCTATGCAATAGTGTGATTAAATATATATTATGACTGTTCAAAAAATATTGTAGTGCTTTGATAATTATAATTACACATCTATAGCTAATTTCTGCTCGGAATTTGTGTGGCAGCCGAGAGGTAAGTATATATTGAGGTTATCTGAGGCCATAGTGGACTTACATATTTAAGAACTACTTGTCACTGCGGTTAAATTTTACAAAATGCATGTCGTCAGATACATTTAATTTAAGCACAGTTGTTTGTTCACCTCATTCTTTCCCTGCTTGCTCTCAGATGCAACAGTGGAGTTTTTTAACATGGCAGCTAACTATCCTGTTTGAAGCAATAGCTTAAGACTTTATTAAACTGCCAGCAGCCTGATGTTCTGGCTTAACCACAGACCTGTGTAGCGAGGAGAAATACAGAAGTACATGGGAAATTTCACAAGTATAAAATTTCACAAACTCAGGAGTTTAACCAAAGCTGCCAGATGTTTTGTTTCTTTCAAAAAGTAGCTGAAGATACTTCAGTTGATCTGTATTGCAACATCACGTGGTAGTATATTTCCTCGAATAATAGCTGCGTGTCAGACTGTGCATGTGTAGAATACAAGCTGTGTGTAGAACAGCTTGTTTTAAATTTCAGTGCTAGGTATTAAGCAAAATCAAATATAGAGGACCCACTCATGTTTGTGTAGTGAATAACAGGACAAGGCATTGAAGAGGATATCTTATTTTCAGATACGATGAAGAGATGGCACAAAGCGATGGTCCCGATCGTGACTTGCGGAGTCGTCCTGGACAATCCACTGGAGTAAAAGGAAATCGTGCAAGAGATTCAGGAAAGCCTGTACTGACCACCTGGAAGTGATAACAGGAGAAACAGCTGCACTCGTGGTAGGAAGGCATCATGAACAAAAATGCAGGTTTTGAACAGATTCGTCTACTTTGCTACCTTGCATATGGAAATATTAAAAGAGGACAGTACAGCTGTTGAAAAGAAGTGAAACAAACAATCTAAAAGCAGTAACTGTACTAGACATACATTGATTTAATGATTATCCCAATAATTATATATATAGTGTGTATGTATATATGATAATTTTGTACATATGTAGTTTGTATATACTAATATTCTCCCAGTAATGATTGAGAACTTTCTTTATAAAGATAATAACTCAAAACATGCATTCTGAAAGAAACCCCTTGCTGTTCTGAATATAATTTATTCCCTCTGTAACCTGTCCCTAGCTCCCTATAATAAATGAGCTGTGGATTCTGTAAGAGTGTGGTGTGGTGAGCGTTAATATTGTCACATGAGGGTTTAGATTCCTGCTAGTAAAAGAAGAGAAACTAAGAAAAATAGCAATGCATGGACTTGAGGCTATTGTCAGTTAAGGCAGCTAATGTTTTACAATTAGTAGTAATAAACTGAAAAGCAATTCTTTATATGCTGAGGATTTTTGGTTTGGTTTTGGTTAGGTTTTTAAATTTCCTGTAATTGTTTTGAGCTGCTAACTCTTTAAAGGTAGAAAGTTTCATGGGCAGAGGGAGTGTTTCAAATGGTATGTTGATGCACTTTTTGACTAGCCATTAATTTTTATTTCAAGATGATGCATGTCTGTAGAGAAACAGACAGAACAATAACAAGCTGTAATAAATCTCATTGCTTGAAGCCAATGAGAAATCCTTATTTGCAGCAGTAATATGAGAATCTCATTGCATATTTGTGCTTGTATATAAGTAAAATATCTGTATATTTTTGTGTGAACTGTAACAAAAATATTGTTGCACATGGTAAGCTATTGCTGGTAGCTATGATAACGAACGTTGTGATGATTAGCTACCAGAATGTATAGAGCAAAATTTAAAAATAGGTATTTCAGTCTTCTAACAGTGTAGCATATAAATAAACTAGTTGGGTGTGTGATTGGCTATTGCTTCCACTTGCATTTCCACCAGTTATTTGTAAATGCCAAGGCACAGTTCTGGTCGTCTTTGTTCTCCTTCCCCTCCTCACTGCTTTTTGATTTTGTTTTGGTTGGTTTTATTTTTTGATGGCGCAGTACTGTGGAGAGAAAGATGAAGGAGGCTAAGAGTTGCAGATGTCCACGTAACCATAACACACTCTAATCTTGATGCCACCAGAGCAGTAATACTTAATTTCCCTGCCAGGGCAGGCCATATGCTTTGCCCTCCTTTGTGGCAGGCTACTAAAGTGCATGCAATATAAACTTTACCTCTCCCACAAGTTTTGAGTTTCTTGAACATGTAAAACAGACCACCTGCACCACAGAACGTGTGGGTCCTTTTCCTGCCTTTGAAGTTCCTCCTAGAATAGGGCAGCTGCTCACAAACTTGCCTTTGGGACAGTTGGTGCTGATGACTCTCAGTCTGAACAGCATCCAGCAAGAGCAGTTTGGGCTGAGGAGGGAGGGCAGATGTGGGCTGGGCTGACCAGTATCCTTACACATGACCTGAAATTCATCCTTGCAATACACAAGGAAATGCATAGACTGAATGAGTCACTCAAAGTATAATCCTCATCTTGATTAATTTTGCATATTCCATTAAAATAACCAAAATCCAACTTACTCTCTGGTCATCAGACTTCTCACTGGCCTCTACAGAAGCATGTTCAAGTTGGTTTTTGAAATAAAGCTAAGAAAAGATAATTACTGCAGGTCTCATAGGTTTTGGTTAGGGTTTTGTGTTTGGGTTTGTTTGGGTTTTTTTGGTTCCTAAGTATGAGTCTTGCTTGTATATTTGAACATTGACAGGTAAGATGCTTTTAAGTAGATGTGTGGTCAGATATTACCCCCAACTGCCTGTTGGGGGTAAAGTAGGAAGTAGTGACTAACTTGGGAGCTATGAGACTGTAGGAGGTAGTATTTTGTAGTGGTTATATTTCTTACAAGACAGACAACAGAACAAGGATACTGTGATAGATGGAAAATGGAGCTTTCTCTCACTTCTCTTTAGTAGCTTTGCAAATAATGTTGTTGTAGTCTTGTTCTATCATTACAGTTGTGCTAGCAAGGACGGCTACAATAGAATGATTACTCCTCCCCTCTAACTTCTTTCCTATTCATGCAGCCTACACTGGTGTGACTATATGGGGAAGAGGTATATTGAGAAACACAAGATTAACTTTCTGATTAGCAGTGACAAACAAGCCCAGAAAATCCTGTAAGCAAGCAGGAAGTCTTCCTTTTCTGTGAAGAACTTGAGGCCTCATGTACCTAAGTGAAATGTTCTTGGGAAACTCAAAATTAGGAATGTCTATTGCTATGTAATATCTACTTTTTCTGTGTAAGGCCTGTTGCAAAACACAGTGGTTCTCTGAAAGAATTTGAATAAGGAAAGGGTCGTGTTCTGTGTTAGCTGGAATGAGCATTTGTGCATGAAGCAGCTTGTCTGAAGACTCAGGAACAGCAGGATGACGAGGAAACAAAAGCAGTCATAGCTAATAGTTCTGGGGGAGGAGGAGGAGGGTAGTATGTAGATACCACCCTGTGAGATGCTTGTTTGTGCATGGCCTTGAAAGGTAAAGGTGAAAATCTGATAAGGAGGAAGCGAAACTAGAAATGAAAACTGAAATTGCCTGCTCATGTAATTAAATCTCTTTTTACTCCTTTTCACTTCTACATCCTTAACTAAATCTATTGCTGTAGTAGGGCAGAACTAATGGTACAAAGTGATATACAAACTGATAGCAGCTGGGGGCATGTTCTGCTGTCAGATGGAAGTGAGGTGATTAGGGGGATATGTAAGCCACTTGGGGCATGCATCTGCTATAGGAGTTAAGGGGAATTAGCTAAAGGTAGGATGCTAACGTGTATGATAAAAGATGTTAAACGGATGTTCTCATTCAAAGGTAAGGTAGCTCTTTTTGCTGGAACTTCATTCTCCAAAAGATTAAAAGCTGGTTTACCTCTGACTGAGTGGGCTTAAATCTGAGTGACTGCAAGCAGACAAGCTATTAGTTCTGAGTAACTAACTGTGGCCCTAGGCCAACCATCCTCCAAATGTATCTAACTCTAGATAAAGTAACTGTTTTGACTTTCAGTAGAACAAAATAAATCAGAAATAACAGTTCTCGAAAGTTCTGACTTCAGCTACTGTAGTAACTTGCCAGGCAGAGCCAAAATAAATGTGTATCTCAGTGCTAAAATACTGTTCTTCATATGCTCAAGTGATCACTGGCATAAAGACAGTATTGTATGAAGAATTAAATAGACAAGCTCTAAACAGCTATGGGAATTGTTATAATGACATCAGTATTGAAGGAGCTTATTGCTAGAGTTGAATAGTGGGGCTTGCTTCCTGGGCACTAGCCTTTCTCCCTATTAATTCTTTGACATGGAAGGAATTAATAAGATTCTCACAGAATAGCTTCTTTATATGGCTTTAGGAACTTAATTAGTATAAAAGAAACAGTATTATCCCTAAAGCCACTTTGTTGCTGTTGGCTTCACAATAGAACTTCTACCTAAAATGTCCTTGTCTCCTGATTCACTTCCTGCTATAAACTTAGCAAAACAATAGACATTTCACAGAAGATATGTGTTCTGCTACTGAAATGCAGGACTATGTCAGGCAGAGCTCACTTATCTGTAGTAAAGGAAGGGCTTTATTCTGTCATTGGAAACTAGTGCTGTTTCTGAAGTAGTTGCTGTTCAATTTATTTAGGTGGAAAAAAGAGAGGCGAACTTGCATTCTGTTCCTGCTTTATTACAATAGCTCCCTCAAGCCTTCAGGTCAGTGGGAAGGACTTGATGTCTGCTGGTGCATAGGTATCAGATATAACAGCAGTGTCAGTAGCTGGTTATACTAACCTGTAGGGTTCCTTAACAAAAAAATTTAATTCCTGGATTCCCTGCATAAAATAAATTAAATGCGTATAGCTGGGAAAAGCTGCCTTTAGGCACAATGTTGTTAAAAATTTGATTATTAAGAGGAAATAGGAACATAAATGAGTATCTTGGAAAAACTGATTGGTTTTACTGAATAGGAGGAAGTTGTTTGTGCTAGGCTGTATTTTTTTCTACTTTTCTGAAGTTGCCATCAAAGCTTAGAAGAGCTTAAAGAAACTCGCCATACTTGAAGCTAGCCCATAGCCAGGACTTCTCCAGCCGTTACAATGACACAGAGATGTCTTTACCAGTTATAAAGAGACTTCTGTGCCTTAATCTGAAATAATTTTGCAACTATTAAAAAGTACAAAAGGTATTCACATCTGAGATAATCATAGACTATTGTGAAATAGAAAAGTTTAGACAGTACGAAACATTAATTAAAAACATTAATGTGAAAAGGCAATAATAAAGGATATTTCAGACAAAAACATGTCTTATATGTAAAAAGTTCTTTCCCAGTGAAAGTTGGGCAGTGAAACAGTGAAACTGATTGATATGATTGGAACAAAATTTAATATTCTGAACTTCTGTGTCATTGGTTGGCATATATAATCACAAATGGCATTAGATTTGCAATCAAAATATGGCTTAGGATTTAAATTTAGATTTAACGTGTAAATAAATAAATACATATTTAATACTTGAGCTGTCTTAGCTAGAGAGAAACGTTCTTAAGAGAATGCTGAAATGTTATTGCAATAAATGTTGCAATAAACAACAGTAAAATTTACACTGAGAGAAGCCAAGAGACAGAATTTCTTTACAGAGAAAGAATTAGTGCTTAAAAGGACACATGGAATTTCTGAGAACAGCAGAAGACACAAGAAGCATATTTAAAAATAGACTGCATTAAAAGTAAAAATAACCGTGGGATACTTATCTAAAATGAGAAGGATTTCTTCCCCCCCCCGAAACTTCCTGTCCTGTTCCTAACAGCCTAAATCCAATGCTTACCAACCAGGCTGCAAGGATTGTAGCCTTTTTTCTAAGAAAAAAGATTGAGATAATCTTTCCAAGGATTCTGAATCTGGGAATTCTGAATCTTCATTCACACCCTGTACATAACTGAAAATGTTCAGAGACCGACTGAATTTTAGTATTTAGGGAAAAAAATACTAAAATCAAAATGATGAATATTTTAAAGTATGATTCACTATATCAGTAAATTATTTAGGGCATCATAATAGTGTCATCATGCTGGGAGGTTGCATGACTGATGATAGATATAATTAGACCATTAATCTCTTTTAATTCACTACAAGTAAAATTTAGTATTTGAATATGCATAAAAATAATTTACATTTAGAAATTGAAAAAAATAGCACTTTATTAACCACTGAGGTATATTTCCCCAAGCAGTTTCCAAGTGCATATATGTATTTATTCAGTGAATGTGGCCTCAAGCCTGTATACATTTATACATACATTAAATTGTGTTACTGTAAGTAATTAAGTCAAATTACTGCACCAGGGTGTGTATTAACCCCAATGCAGACAAATTCTGCTTCATGTATAGAGGTAATTCACAGAAAGATCAATAGTGTTCATACAGAAAGTAGACTGAGATAAGTTTAATAATGTTGCTTCTGAATTCTTTCAAATGGTACACTTGGAAAAGGGGCAAAACCTTTGCAATTAAAAATGTGTTTTTAAAAGTCTGATACCTGTTATTGTCTTATTGCCTTCCAAAGGCATCTAAGCATTCTTCATCTAAGTATGAAAAGCATAGGAAACATCTTGCAACCAGAAGAGAATATTCAGCAGCTTGAAAACACTATTCCCTAAAGTGGTGCCTCGAGAAATCTCCAAATACTGAATTTAAATGTTCATATAAATTGCATTTGGTGAACTTTGTTTTTCCCCCCAATTAATACTCCTTCCCTTTTTAATTTCTTTATAATATCTTTAATTTACAAAATTTTTATCATTTCATTGCATTTATAAAGATGATAGATTTATAAAGATGCTTAAGTGAAAAGCTGGAAAACACAATTGTTATTTCTCAAGTTGCACTAA